GATGCTAGAGGGATCCTTGTTGATAAATAGGAGGGTGTTTTCTGCAAAAAGGAGAGGGTTAATTTTAACCAAACCACACCTAGATACATAGATACATAACCTGAGCCGGCTAATGGGCGTTTGTGACCAAAATGAATAGAAAAGGGGATAGGGGATTCCCTTGTCTCAATCCTCTATTGGTTGTGTGGAGATGCATGCTTGTATCCATTTCCTCTAGATCAAGTTGAACCATGTCGAACACTTTCTCTAGATCAAGTTGGATCACTACACCTAGAGGTGAGTATCGATCGGTCGGGGACGGTTTTTGGCCAACCTCGTCACCGAAAACCGACCTAGTCGACTTTTTTTCTAAGGTACCTAGTGCCGACCTAACCGACTGGTACGGTCGGTCGGCATCATTGGAAAATCGATTTATTTTTTTTCAATTTTTTTACACCGATCGCTGCGCACAGAAGACGGAGAAGAGAGAGGATAAGGCTGCGACGATGCTACTCGGTGATGCGCACAGAAGAGAAGTGCTGCACGATGATGGAAACAAAAGAGAAATATTAGGGTGGCTGGTGGGGTTGCAACGTTGCGAACGGAAAAAAAAAGGAGAAGCTGAAAGGGTGAAATGAAATAGAGAAGGAGGTGGACGGAAGAATAAGAGGTTGAAGAAGAAGAAAGAAAGAAGAAGAGCGAAGGAAGAAGAAGGAGAAGAAAGATGAGGGAGTGGGCGACTGGACCTCGAAAAGACTTAAAGTTTTTGGGAGCTGTGAAAGAAAGTTAAATTTGGGGACTGTGAATGAAAGTCAAATTTGGGGGGCTGTGCAAATAAATGAATGTTTAGGGGCTCGGTGCGGCACAAAACCCTAAAGAAAAGGACAACAATAAATATAAATAATATATATATATATTTTTTTATGTTAGTGTATACCATCGGTCGGAATGGGAGATTAATTGATGCCGACCGACCGATAGGTTGGTTTTGGAATTCTAAAACCGACCACCGACCGATCCTCTTTGGAAACTGACCGACCGACTTCGGTTTGGTTGGTTTTGGTCGGTCGGATCGGTTGCGAGGAATCAATGACCTTCCAAATTTCGGGCTTTCCACTCATCAATGATCTCATTCTCTATAAGCGAGGAATCTAGAATTTGTCTCCCCTCTACAAAGGCATATTGGTGGTTGGTGATGGTGTGGGACAGTACCTTTTTAAGTCTTTCAGAGAGGACATGAGCAAGGATTTTGTAGGCGCATGGTATGAGGCTGATGCCTGTAATTATGCACTGTTTTTGGATCTTTCCATTTGGGGATGAGACAGATGTGAGTCTCATTAAGGGCTGCATTGATGATTCTGTTTTTAAAAAAACCTTGGAACATTGTCAAGATGTCGGTTTTGATACTGCTCCATGATTTTTTAAAAAAATTATGAACCCTCTGTTATGTATCTTATTCCCTTGCTCTTGACCATGCGATCGCATACTTCGTGACAAAAATTTCCTCTTCAACATCATTGGGGACTCTGAAACCTTTGTTTTTCTCTGAAAATGTACTCATGACATTAGTAACCGTATGATGCTGATTCACCTCGGGCCTCCCTTCACCCCTTTCTACACCGACCAACTTACTTCTCATAATCTCCTTCGTCTGGATTTAGTTCAACATAACCCAAAAATTCATCCAACCCTCCTTTCATAGTCACCAAGAACTACAACGTTCTTTCTTCCTCTAGTTTGAAGCCAGACGACTTGAATTTGTGGATGCAACAAGTACCAAATTCATTTCGAATTTCATGATGAAAATCAAGTGTCGATTGGTATATTGACTAGTTCAGGCATATGGCTCTCAAACCATAAAAGTTAAGCTGGATGAAGGGACAACAAGACCTTTGCCAAAAACGATCCACATCTGCCCATATACAGAAGAACTTATCGGCTACCTTGAAGCTACTAATTTCCATATTCCTCAGAATTAAAAATGAACACTTTTTTTTTTAACAAGAAACAAACTTTTTGTTGATAATATGAAAAGGAAGAAAAACAACCAAGCATAGAAACCAAAATACAAGTTAATAGACGATAACCGAAGCCCATGAAATATCAAAAAGCTAAAACTAAAGTACATATGTTGAAAAAAATATCATCAACAAAGCTTGCCAATCCTTCTGCTGAGGAGGATACCAAATCAACCGCTAAACACAAACTGACCGCAAGAATGAAGAGGTAAAGAATCTGACGTCTCTCTCTACCAAGAAAAGACAAGAAAACTAAAAGATCTCAACCCTCAAAACTGGTGCAAAGCGGAACCAACCAAAAAACTGTTGCCCTTAATTAAAGCCTACCTATTCGGTGAGTGGAACTATGGTAATATATACATCTTCAATATCTTTAAGAAAAACTTTGATTATTAGTGCAAGAAGTCTTTTGACTACCAATGGCTGTTCTTGAGAAGGAGAAAGCAAGGTATCCATTTTTCCAGAAGAGCGTAAATGGTCTTGATCTTCTGTAAAAAGTAAATTAAAATCTTATGTTAGGGAAACCTTTGATAAATCTTCATTAACAACCTCTTGATCTTCCAAATATCCTGCTGAATCCTTACTACTGACACTAACATTAAATTCTGCATCATCATCAGACAAAACATTATCTTTGAAGTGTTTATTTGACTGCTCACTTGTTGAATTATTGATACCATGGTTGAGAGGTGAATTATCCTTCGGATCCCTCCTCTTTCCTTTATTAACTTCGGTGAGTGCTTATTCTTTTTTTTTTTTTGATTAAAGAAATGGTAGGGAGGAATAAAATTCCTTGGCAGCAGTAAATCAAGACTAAAACTAGGGCTGCTATCAACCAGATCTCAATTTTCTTGGTTGCCTTATCACCTTCCAAAGGTTGAGATTCTTTACTTAGTTCATTTCCTTGATCAAATAAGAACATTCGGGCTGTCCTCTGGATTTTCATTCAAAACTTCAGATTCATCTTTTACCCTTGACGAGGCTCTTCATCTGACAGTAACAAATGAAGCCTTTGAACATCTATCACATTTGAAGATTTTTGCAACCAACGTCTTACTGAAAATCAAACTTTTTTTTTCTCATAACTCTCAACCTCCTTGACACGAACTACAAAGTTGTCGAACTGTGTGTTAATTTCTATTGATGCAAGTAAGAATCCACACGAGTTCTCTTCCATTCCACTTGAATCAGAGCTTTTGAGAAATTCAAGATAGTTAAGAGGAAATCTTCTTTAAACCATCAAGCTGAACTCCTATTACTCTTGTTCCAACAATTTAAAGGTAAGTCACAAATCCTTACCAAACCTCCGAAGTATTCGACCCGCATTCCACCACTTTCTTCCTACAATGATCTTCAAAACACCATCTTTCTAGCTTTATATAGAACTCTCATACCTTTCCCCCGAGTCATTAACCCACTCTGAGTTTAACAATCTTCCATCCTCAAACCTTAAAAGCTCTTTATCTACCATAAACTTAATCTGGTAGTCTTGAGAGAACTTTTCTTTTAGAAACACAGAAATATCCTTCAACCGTTGAAGGCACTAAATTTCAAGATGACCATGATGTTGTCCCAATCTATCTCAAAGACTTCTGAATCCCTTCTAACCCAATATTGCTTTAAAGGACTCTTATAGGAAACCTCCTTATTGAAAATGAACACTGATAAACTGAATAACAAACTCTTCAATCACGGCAAAGGAAACTTGATAAAACTCAATCTGCAAAATGAAACTAGGAAGCAAAAACTGGGGATGAAGGAAGACGAAGGAAAAAGATGAAAGAGGAGAGAGGAGAGAGCATTATTTACCGAGCTCCCATTGTTCGAGTTTTCTCCATTTGATGATATACTTTGTTCTGAGTAGTCAAGACAGTATGATTTAGCTTTGAAGATAACATGTTTTCTTTGGCCAGCTCGCTTTCTTTCATTGCCATATACCCAAATTTCAAACTGTTTTTCTAGTCTCTTAATCTAAATGCGACTCTCTCCCAAGCAGAATGATACCACATCTAAAATTTTATATATTTATTTCTATATCCTATAGAATTAATTGCCATTAAGGACGCGTTCTCCAAGCAGATTGATAAAATTTGTTTTTCTAGTCTCTTACTAAATGGAACTCTATCCCAAGCAGATCGATACCACATCTAGAATTTGATATATTATTTATATATCCTACAGAAATAATTGCTATTAAGGAAGCGTTTTCCAAGTTTACCCTCAATTTGGAAGTTGATTCGAACCCTTAAAAAGAGGATTTACAAACATTGCTCAACTTCAGTTTATTTTCCCTGAAAATAAGAGTTAAAAACATTACTCATTGGGCCTTCTTTTGGGATCTCTTTTTTCTTTAGGTTGTATCTATCTTTGTAATTTTTCATTTTATCGATGAAAATTTTGTTCCTAATGAAAAAGAAAAATAAGAGTCTCATAAGCAAATATTAGGTGATTAATCTTGACTCTATTTCTTCCCACAATATGTTAATCCTTCAGAAGCCTTTAATTTCCTTCTAGGCCTGGCCTTCCCATGAGGAAAAAATGGAAAAGATGTATTGGCGATGTATCCTTTAATCCAGTGTGTCGAAATCCTCTTGCTTCCCATGTTTTATCCAAAAACTGATAATCCACTCTATTGTTGGCTTTTTCCATATCTATTTTGATGACTTGACCCTTCTCTTTCTTTTTCCTATTTTCTTCTACCATTTCATTTGCTGTCAAACTTGCGTCAAGGATCCATCTTCTCATGATAAAGGTGTGTTTGTTTTTTGACGCTGTGTTGTGGAGAACATCCTAGAGTGTTTCTATTAAAAGACCTATCCTAAGTTCATGAAAGTGCATTTGTTTGTGAACACCCCTAGATGCGCATGCGCATGTATGTATTTGATGTGGACAAAAAATTTGATGAATGAACGATGTATGGTGCACTAATGTTTTTTTTTATATGATACGAGTATTTCATTGATGTATGGTGCACTAATGTCAAACTTGGATTTTGTTTTGTAGGGAAAAGAACAAGCCATATCTTCTAATTGACTTTTCAAATTATTTGCGAATAAATGTGTAAGGGGTTCTCTTCCTTCCTTGTATGCATGTTTATTGGTTGGTCTTTAAATTTATTTATAAGTACTTTTACACCTTTGAAGTTGTTTGCAGCTATGTGTTGGGCGCTGTATTTTTGCAACTTTGTAAAGTGCTAAGACTTGAAGAGCACCCTATTGTTCAAAAGCCTGTTGATCCTTCCCTTTTTATTGATAAATTTACTCAATGTAAGTATTTCATATTACTTGACTTGCAATTTCAAATCCCTTTTCTAGTGTTGTTCATGAAGAAGGATAGACTCTAATTGCTTTTGTATGTTCAAAAGAGAAGAATGCAGCATAATAAATAGAAGAAAACTATTGAATGCATAAAAGAAAATAAGCAATGGTAAAAACTATACAATGAAATAACCAAAATTGAAAAGAAAAGTTAGAATAAAGTAATCGGAGAGAGAATTGGTTAGCTTCCATGGGTGTGCTGCATACGGGTTGTATATATTGATTAAGAATAACTTGGTTTCGGTTTTTCAAATTTTAGACTTGATAGGCCATAGGGAGAATGTCAATAGTTTGGAACCGGTGGGGGTGTAGAATGAGTGTGATGACTTTCCTTTTTCTTTCTTTTTTTTTGAAATGTTTATCAATATCCACATGATTTGATTTTTTTTTTAATTTTATTTTTATACAAGATATGAACTTTTATTAAAAGAAACTACAAATGTTCAAAGAAAACAAACTCCAAAAAAGGAGCGAGAAAAAAGAAAAAGGAAATACAAATCTCTGAAAATAATTGCAAAACTTTAAAAGATTAGGGTCATGAAAAAGAGAAGAAACAATAATGCCAACCCTCCAAGAGAGAAAAAAGCCTCCAAGCTTTGCTCAGATAAAGGACAGTGAAAGAAAACTCTCCATCTAACCCACGAAGTACAAAAACCAAGAGATTGAAAAAAGCAAACACTCTCTGCAGAGATGAAAAAGTGAGAAAGATCTTCAATAATGTCGAGAGTGCCTTCCTTGACAAAGGAATAACATCTTGGTGAATGAAGAAACAACCCAAAACTCTCCAATTCAGAATCAATGCCGCAAAGGCTGACTAATGGCTCCTCATTGAAAACTGAAAACTTGTCTCTAAAACCACTTTAACAGCAATACATTCGTTGAATGAAAAATGTATTTAGAAAGATTAATCTCCTCCGAGAAGTCATGAAAGATCCCAATAACAAAAGTATTGTCCACCTCTGTACCATCTTTGAAATAACTGCATTCAACATAAACACTTCCCACCTTTGAATCATTTTTTAAATAGTTACAGATGAGGAGAAGAACCCATGAAAACTCCTTACCAAAAGCATTAGCTCAACTTTGATGTTTTTTCTTTTTAACAAGAAACAACTTTCCATTGATATATGAAAAGGAGACAAAGTTCAAGAATCCTAACTCCCAAAGGAGCGAGAGAAAAAAGAGAAGGCAAAAACATCGAATAAATTTTTTGGCTTGGGTCCTTCTTATGGGCAAGGTCAATACTATGGATACTCTTTAGAAGAAACCGCCTTCAATGATGTTACAGCCTTCGATATGTTCTTTGTGTAAAGCAAATGGGGAGTCACAAGGGCATGTTTTCTTTTCTTGCCCCTATGCGGCAAAATGTTGGAGGTCTTTCTTTTCATTGTTCAAAATGTAATGGGTTTGGGATTTGGAAGTCTCCCATAATATTCTTCAGATTCTTTAGGTTTTGTGGATCAATTCAAAAGCCAATCTCCTTTGGATCAATGATTTTAAAGCTATCATCTCTCAATTGTGGTTCGAGAGAAATCAGAGAATCTTTTAAAGTAAAAGTCGCTCTTCTCTGGATTGTTTATGAATCGCAAAGTTCAAAGCTTCTCAATGGTGTGTTTTTTCTGATATCTTTTTCTCTTACTCTCCTAGTATGCTATGTATAAATTGAGAGGCATTTATAACTCCCCCTAGTGGTGTCTTTTAACTTTTGTTGATTTTACTGTGTTTGTCTCTTTTATTTTTCTTCACTCCTCACGGAGTTTGTATCTTTGAACAATTTTGTTCATTTTCATTAATCAATGAAAAGTTCGTATCTCGTTAAAAAAAAAAACATCAAATAGGCTCAATATGGAGCATTAAGAATAATAAAAGCCAATGAAATATTAAACTAACTACAAAACAAAACTATTCACCAAGATGTGAGGACTCAATTAGAAGATTCTTTAGCTTAAGAATCGCCAACGTTATCTCCTAGAAATAGATCTTTGAGATCCTGAGAGAACTTGACACGAATTTCAGCTAATTCTCGAGCCTGAGTAGCTTCTATTTCCAAAACTTTGATAAGAGTACACTACGACGTTTAACTTCAGTAACCCTGGTCTCTTTAAAGAATTGGAAAAGATCTTCATTTTCACCCCTATGGAAAGAATTACCACTTTTCCCATCGAAATCATGGAATATAGATTTTAAACTCTTTTCAAGAATGAAGAACATACAACAGCAGTTTTGATATAAAAAAGACTTTAAAATATCTCATCTGTAGAAATTAAAAATAGTTTGGAAGTTGGTGGTTTGAGAATATTGAAGGACTTATTCAATAAATTGGAAGATTCTCCAACCTCCTTTTGCATGAATACCTGATTTTGAGTCTCATTTTAAAGCTTTTAGTTTTAGGCAAAGGAGAGATTCCATGAAAGATAATTGTATGGGAAGATCAACCGATCTACAAGAGGGGGCTCATGCGTGTGTTGGGTGTCACAATCGCACTTTTCAAAGGACTCACAAAGCGATTGTGCGGCACTTGTTCTTGCCCACGAACAAGTCAGCCAACGAAAATCTGATAGCCGGCGGCACCACGGCTATATATCGCAACCTCCACCCCCGTTCTTGAGAAAACGGTTTTGGAAAACGGGTTTTAGAGAAAAAAGGTTTGGAAAGCGTTTGAAGACATTTTAGAAAGCTTGTTGTATGCTTAAATGCAAGAGAATAGATTAGCGGCAAGACAAGATATAACACAAGGTAGGAGGGAGACTAGGTGTACCCCCTTAAGGTAGATTATAAAGCATTTTGCCTTTGGCGGCGTGAACATGCAAAGTGGCAAGGAGTCACTCGCCACCAAAAGTACAATGAAAAGTAAATAACATGCAAAAGTAAATACATGACATAAAAGTAGGAGGGAAGAGGCTATCATGGGCATGCGGCCATGAGCGACATGCACTGGACGAGCATGACCATGACATTGGGCATCCTTGAACTTTTGCTCCTTATTCCACATGATTTGTGTCTCATAGTGGGATGTTTTGTAATACTGATGCATTTTAGTAGTCTGTAATAGGAATGCCATTCGAGTAGTTAGGAATATGATTAGGGTATTAAGGTATATTAGTCATTAGCCAAGGGATTGGTTATAAATAAAGGGGGCGGGAGGAGATGGAAATTGGCAATAGTTTAGTTGGTTACTTGGGAGTTATTATAGTTCTTCCATCTTTTATCTTTCAATAAAGGGCTCGAGTATCTCAAGAGAGGGAGTGTCCAAATACCTCAGATTACTTGGGAGTTATTATAGTTCTTCCATCTTTTATCTTTCAATATCATTTTAGTTGTTAGGTTTCTATTAGTCTCTTCTCTAGGGATTTTTGGTTGAAGTATCTTTCTAGCCAAATTCCTTTATATATTTCTTGCTTCTTCAAGGTGCAGTAATTGTAGGTAAACCATCCATCTACTGTGGACTGTATCCAATCCACGTTAGGAACCACATATTATTTTTGTTAGATTTTTTAAATGTAAGTTTTCTCAAATGTCATTTTTAGATACTAAGAATTTTATGACAACTTACATATTTTAATCTCTAGTTTGCCAATGACATGATATTGTTTTGTTCCGACAGATAAAATTCTTTTGGTAATCTTAATTCCATTCTAACAATGTTTGAACTTTGAAATCATTTTAGGGCTTAAGATTGATAGAAATAAGAGTTTCCTATGCGATATTAACTATGAGGCTTCTAAGCTCGAGAGATGTGCTTCAATAGTGGGTTGTGAGATTAGCTCCACTCCTAGTAACTATTTGGGTCTTCCTGTGGGAACAGTCTTAATTGCTTGTCCTCTGGAACTTGGTGGTGGAAAAGATACATCAATGTCTACCCTCACGGAAAATGGCTCTCTTTTGTAGGAGGAGATTGACACATATTCAGTTTGTTTTGAGTGGCTTCTTGTCTTTATTTAGGATCTCTTCTTCCTTGACTATAAGGATTGAGAAGCTGATGAGAGTTTTCGTTCCAAAAGGTGTTCAAAAGGTTTGAAAAGTTCTATTTTTGTGTTGAAGAAGCTAGCTAGAGTACACAACCTCATTTCTTGTCCAGAGAGTTTTGCTTCTCCAGAGAATTAAGGAGAATAATGGTTCAAAGTGGTAATCCGTTGAGAAATCTAGGTGGGGAGAGACATAAGAATCAGCCAATTTGATGTTAACATATATGATTTATATATAAGAACTACTTTTATCTTTTACTAGTTACTATAAATTATTGGCTTGAATTTTATAGGGTTGATTTGATGTAACATTTAGAACTGAAGAACAAAATGATTCTCAGGTTTGCTTGGAGGAACAAAGGAGGATGGAATGAAAAAGGAGGTTTCTAGAACTGCATTGAAGATTATAACCAGCATGAAGCGTGATTGGATGCAGGTCTGGTCATTAGAACTGCCATATTATCTATCAACTTCTTTTTGAAGTTGATTTTAAGTAATAAAGGTTCTTGCAGACAGGGAGAAAGCCTAGTGGGCTATGTGGTGCGGCTTTATACATATCTGCACTTTCTCATGGTGTCAAGTGTTCCAAGTCAGACATCGTAAGTAAAGTTAATTCTCTAAGTTTGAAATTACAATGTTAATGTTAATGTTAATGTTTTACTTAAAAGATTACCAAGTAGATTGTTCCATTCTTTCTTCTTCTGTATCTGATAAGGAAAGAATATGCCTTATCTTTTGTTGATAGCTTGGTTTCTTATAAAAAAACATTTTGTTGTAGTATTTATTAGTACTATTGTCCATCCATGTCAATCTCGTCCAATGTTATTTTTATTTAAAAAATTTCTTATAAATATCAACATTGATTGGGATGTTGATGCCTTGAATTTATAGAGGTGGGTATGGATATTTTAAAAGAAATCATGCAAGTGGAAGCAAAATTTGTGTACTTTTATGTTATAGGAACATTGTTAATACGTTGAATTTATCAATTTCTGTCATTGGTTGTACCCCTTTGATTCTAATCTTTCTTTCAACAATTCTTATGACTTAATCATAATTCCTTTCATAAACTGCTGCTCATTTCATTAATTTTTTGATGTTTACTTTATGTCCTTTGGTATTCAAAGTCTGAAAACTTCTCTAATTACGTCCTTATAGTTTTGATGACCGGTTGGAGATCCATCTTTAACCTTTGGCTTATGTGCAATCTCACTTTAGTGAAAATTTTTCTCTTATAAAACCAAATAGATAGGATATAATAATAGAAGTGTTTGGACTTAGGCTGTTAGGTTAGGGTGGTTTTAATCTTGTCAATATATTCTCAACAATGCCTTTAGACATGCTGGATATGCAATTAGAGGGCACAAATTATTTATTACCACTAATCTCAAATGTAAAATAAAAGTAGGTTAATTAACATTGTGATTTCTTCTGATTTTTATATATCATTTGTTGCAAAACCAGATAAAGATCGTGCATATTTGTGATGCAACATTGACGAAGCGGTTAATTGAGTTTGAGAATACAGAATCTGGGAGCTTAACGGTAAGTCAATTACAATCACTGGTATATTACTGGCTTTTTATTTGAACAATATACAAATTTTTCATTGATAAATTGAAAAAAAAAAATATTTATTCAAGGATACAAACTCTGAAAGGAATGAAAGCAAATGAAAAATAAAAAGACAAAAAATCTAAGAAGATGTTACAAAAGCATCCCAGAGTGAACAAATGATACTAGGGGAACAATTCTCAAATACAATAGAAAGAGAATGCTATTGAGAGACTTTAAACTTAGCTAGATCGAAGCACTCGAGCCATTCTTTACTCTTGTCTTCGAATGGTCTTTGATTTTTTCAAATCAAATTTATGATAAAATGGGTTTGACCACGTTAATCTAAATTAATCGGGCCTTCGAAGAAAGATACATGCCATAAAATAATTGCAGCAAGTTACTTTTAGAATCTTCTGAGAATACCCATTGGATGTTGAAGAGATGGAATAAAGACCACCAAAAATTCAAAGAATATAAGCATTGAAAAAACAAATGGCCTCGACTTCCACAATTGGCAGAACATAAAACACAAATCGAGGGCTGAAGAGAAGATTTAGGGAGTTTCCTTTGGAGAACATCTGAAGTGTTATTGGTGTATTAGCCCTTTTTTTTTTTCTTTTTAATATGGAACTTAGAGAAACTTCATTCCAAAAAGAGCAAAAGACAACCTAAAGACTGGGGTGGAGATCACACCCAAAAGAAGCTAAAGCAAAGCCTTCCCATCCTACAAAACCATGAGGAAGCTATAATTACAAAAATTCTTTTTGTGGTTTGCACACCACCGGGGATATATGCTGTACATTGTTCCTCAAAAAATCCTTTGTAAAAGAACTAAAAGAATCCTCAATGTTCCTTTCTTTCCAAATCAATCACAAAATAACCCTAAAAACACAGTTCCACAGAATTTTTGCTTTGTTTTTATGCCTCATACCCAACATACCTTCAGAATTCCAGTCATCTATATTGTTTGGGAGGCTAGTCGAATCATTAAAGATCTGAAAAATACGATACCACAGGTCCACAACTTCCGTGCTAATTGAAAATGGAGGAAAAGGTGACCTAAAGGCTCCATAGATTCGTAGCACATTCTGCAAATGGGTGGGGAAGAGACCAATCGGGAAACTTCCTTTGGATGGACCAGGACCATTGTTAAAAGGAACAAGATTAAGTTACAGTCTGCAATGAACGAATTAAACTCCCATTTGACTTCTCTGAGAGCCATCTCACCACATTATAGTCTACACCAACACACCATTTCTCATAACGTAAACTGAATAAATCCTACGTCTCCCTCCCAAAGCTAGATCTCTCATGATGAGAAGAAGGGCCATAAACACCTGTAAACTAGACTTTGAATAAAGAATTAAAAGAGAATAGGATTATGATAGAGTATGTCCCCACGAGTGCGTTCGCTACCTCTATGCTATCCTCTTCTCACATGGTCAAAACTCCTCTGGAAGAGCCTTCAGCATTGAGGGACACCCACTCTACTTGGTTCGGGAATATCTTCCATCTGGAAATGAAAATATTTTAGAGTGAAAAGAATGTTAGAGTTGGTTGTATTGCCAAACATATTTCTCCAGATGCCAATTGAAATTATAATCACGAGTCCATATTTTAAGATCATAGATTTTTTCTGCATGTGCTCTCATTTCCAAACTAGGGTATTGATAGGACTCCTTTATTATCTCATTGTTTAGATGGAGGAATTTATTCTCATGGGAGACAAGGTCAAGGAAAGCAGTTCTTTTATTGAGCGCCCTGCTGGGACCAAGAATGGCCTGAATCCATCAGGTGATGAAGTACTCTGCGTGCATAAGAATGATTGCAAAAAGCCGTATGCTCTTGGTCTTTGTAAAAGTTGTTATGATGATGTGAGTCTTTCTTCTTTTTTACCTTGCTGAATAAACGTGAAACTTTAATTGTGGTTTTTGTAAGATCTATCCAACTTGTGCAGTTTGTTGAACTTTCTGGAGGCCTCGATGGTGGATCAAATCCTCCAGCATTTCAGTGTGCTGAGAAAGAGAGAACAGAAACGGAGGAAGACGCTAATGACTCTAGTGCTATTGGCACACTTTCACAAGGACTAAATCCATGTAACAATGTAATGTCTTCTTCAACAAAAATTTCTAATTCCGTTTCTTTTAGTTTTCGTACTAATTGAAATCAAGAATTGTGATGGTTTTCTTATTTGTTAAGTTTCATTGACAGTCATTAGCATGGTTTTGATCAATTATAAACTATTAAAGCTTAAACTGTTTTAGGCTTATGTAAATTTTGGTAAATAAATTATTTTGAAAAAGTTTGCTGGAATAGATTAATCCTATCCTAATAACTTAAGCTTTTGAGACTAACAGCATTTAATTGTAGTGCCAATCAATTAATAATTTCTTTAGTTTAAAATTGATGGGCCGGATGTTAGACCTAGTTGTTGAAAGTTTAAGTCTGTAAGATTGTTGGTGGGCTTTAATTGTAAATACATTGCACCTGATTTGCCACTAAAGATACCTAAATATAAGTTTGAAAGAGAGTGGTGCATCAATATCAAGTGACCCAAGGAATGGGGGCCGGGGCATGCATCAGACGTAGTTTAGAGGTGGCACGTGAAGGTCTAAGTGAAGGGTGAGTTTGAGAGTTCAATTGGTGAGTTTTTGTCTTTTGCTTCCTTTGCTGACAGATGTTCCTTTTCGAGGGGAGGGGGATGGATATTCGAGTTTGGTCCCTTGGCCCTTCCAAGGGGTTTTCATGTTGTTCTCTTTTCCATTTATTAAGTTCTTCTTCTATTCCCCATTCAGCACCGTTATTTGCCTCTATTTGGAAGGTTAAAGTTCCAAAAAAAATTAAATTCTTTAGGTGGTAGGTCTTACGTGAGAAAGTCGATACCTTGGATCGTATTTAAAGGTGTGTGATTTGCAGAGTTGCCTTGGAGGATCTAGACCACATGTGGTCTTGTCAGTTTGTGTGGGATTTATGACATCGTTTTTTTTTTAGTTCTTTGAGGTGTTGTCAACTCGTAATAGGGATTGTCAGGCGATATTGGAGGAGGTAGTGTTGTATCCTCTTCTGGGATAGGGAAGTTTTTTGTGGCAGACTTGTTTTCTCACTACTTTACGTGGAATTTGGTTGGAGAGAAACAATAAAATTTTTAGGGGCGGAGAGATCCATGCAGTATGTTTGAGAGCTTATTAGGTTTAATACTTCTCAGTGGGTCGATTTCTAAGAGTTTTTGTAATTGTGTTATTATTTTGAATTGGAGCCCCTATTTCTAGAGGGTGTTTTGTGGTCGAGCTGTTGTATATTTTTTCATTTCTCTCGACGAAAGTTTGGTTTCTTATCCAGAAAAAAAAGATAATAGAATAGTTGAATTGGTTGTGTACTTTAAGACTTGTTTATTTGAAGCTAGTTTAGCCATCTACCATGAATTTGTTGACAAGGATGTTAATTGAATATGTGACGGATTGTGTCACAATTGCACTCGAAGAGAGTGGATTGTGCCCCCTACGAGAAGTAAGCAAGTCAAGCTGGCACTGCCTGTATGAGCTTGACATAAGGGCCGAAAAGAAGTTTCTCAATGTGACTTATGGGGTAGTGCATTAGCAGCCTGAGAGTAGAAAGTCAAAATTGGGGTATTATAATTGAATGGTATTAATGGTGTGTTTATGGGTGCACCAATGTGACAATTGAGAAAAAATCAATCTTACTCAAGCATGGATTTGGCAGGACAAGAATGAGAGAATTTTTGTAGGGTTAGAGAGGTTGGGAAGTGGTAGGCTCTTGCCAAGTTTAATGCCTTTATTTGAGCGTATGTTTCTAATGAGCCAATTGGAGCTCTTTTTATTATTACTATTTTTATCTTGTAGCAATAGACCAGCACACTAGGTATTTTTTTTGGATTGGAGCCAATAGCAATTTTTTTTTTCAATTAAATCTCCATGCATATCTATAATTGGGCGATGTTTTTGTAGTTCCCTTGGCTTAGTGGAATAACTCATCTACCCTTTTATGCATCTTCTCTTGAGACGATGAAAGTTAAGCTTCGTATCGAAGAAACTAACAAAAATACATTAAAAATGATAAATTCAATTTTTTGAATTGTCTCGGTAGTGAAATGATTTAAATAATAGTTAAAACGCAGAATAGAAGTATGGTCTATTTCTATTGTACAAATAAAGTGTTTGACAAAATATATTATATCTCCTTAAGTTAATATATTCATCATTGTAAATGGAGTCACTTAAGTTAAGTTTGGGTAGAAGGTTGCTCTGTTCTCTTTTCCTCTCCTTTTTGTTCTTCGTTTGGTAAGAATTCTTCAGATTTTAACAGATTCTTAGTTATCCCAGTGTTTACTAAGAATGGAAGTTTGTAGTTGCCGTATTGATAGTAATTTCTTCTGCATTTGGAGTGGAAATGGTTTGTTTATGCTGGAGGATGTGGAGCAGAAGGTTCAGGTTCCACTGCACCCTTCTCAATTTCTTTGGTTTGAAAACCATATGGTTGAGATCAATCATTTGCCAATCCCAACTTATTTTTATTATCAGATTCGTGATGCTCTTGGCCAGCGTCGTCTGCAGAAATTTAAAAACAACCAATTGTGGTTTTTGAAATTGGTTCTTTGGCTAGCTACAGGAGGAAGAAAGATTATTATTATTTCAGCTCGTCTCATGCGGAAGGTGGGCCATGCTGAAGACGTTCACTGTAAGGACTACAGAAGCTTAGGCCTTGAAACTGGTAAATAACATTTGGCCTAAGGGCAATGTTGATGTCAGAGGAAAGGAGGTTGAGATGCCGAAGGAGCAGGGGCTTAACAAAAGGAAGGTTTTGTTAGATCAGAGCAATGCTTTCTTGAAGGAAGAAAGATATTTTGCAGAAGTAGTAAAAGGAAAGGGGAAGATGACTTTTGCTGATCCTTCGCTTTCTCCACAAATGATCTTACGAACAAAAGTCCAAGGAGTATAATTCGCTCAAATGATGAAGAAGACTTTAATGTCAGTCTTAGCAGCCCAGATATTTCCCCTTCTCGAGATGTTCTATACTCCAATATTGTAGATCTTTCAGATGATTAGTTTGAGGAAAGTTTACACAATCTATTTAACTTAGATAATGAGCATCCAAGGACCCCCAGTGGAGCAGCCAGCATTGAATTTGGAAGAGAAATTCATTTCCAAAATTGATATCTCCCCTTTTCCGAAGCTGTTGGGCTTTCTTTAGTTTCAATTTAGAATTTCTAATGAAATTTTTTATCATGGATTGTCCGTGGTCGGTACTGTTACAAGAAGAGGCTGAAAATTAAGGATTTCTTCTCCAATCACTGTCCTGATATTGTTCTTCAAGAATCTAAGTTGTAGTAGTTAGATAGTAAGATCATTAATTCTTGTGGAGCTCTCAGGATATTGGTTGGGCACAGTTTCATTTAGTTGGCAGTTCTAGTGGCCTAACCTTCTCTTGTTCCTTTTCTAATCTGCAGGATTTGTGTATTTCAAAAATCTTTGGTTCTACTAATTACAAAGATGGGAAGTTGTTGTGATCAGAATTTTGTAATATTGCAGGATTCTCCAATAAACTTTGGTATTTGGGAGGTGATTTCAACGTCACTGGTTGTGTTTCATACCATTCCTCTTATGGTAGGCAGTCCAAGGCTATGAAGATATTTTATGACATAATAGAAGCGTTGGATATCCTGGAATCTCCATTATCTAATGGTAACTATACTTGGTCATAGATGGGAAATGATAGTTCTCATTCGTTGTTGGTCATATTTTTTGTTTCTTCAGAATGAGACAACATATTTCCTTATTTTTGAGTTCAAAGAGTTGAAAGAATATTCTCATATCACTTTCCAATCTTTCTGCATTCAAAAGGAATATGAAGTTGTGGAAACAGATTGGGATAATGCCATGGTTATTTCAAGGTTTTGTGCTTAGGATAGCTGGAAGGCAATCGTTGCCTCCCTCAAAAGTTTCTTCTCAGAAAATTGCCAAGTCAACCCTTTCTTAGCAGATAAGGCTTTATTTAGATTCGAAAGTGGAAGACCCTTGAACTCTGATTGACTCAATGATAAATGGCGCAAGTTAGATAGATTTCACGTGAAGATGGAGAGGTGGGATCTTGAAAAACACGGCAGGAATGAAATGACAGTTTGTTTTGGTGGCTGGGTGAAAATCTGCGACTTACCTTTAGAGCTTTGAAACACAAATTGCTTCAAGGCCATAAACCCATCTTGGAGGTTTGAAGAAAATCTCTCTAGCAACACTAAATTTGTTAGATTGTTCAGCAGCTTTCATTCAAATAGAGAAGAATGACTGCAGCTTTATTCTGGCTTCTATTGAGATTACTACGAAACGTGGATTGTTTGTGGTAAACGTGGTTGCCATAAATGAAGCTACCAAGCCGTCTTTTCCCTGCGTTAAGCTTTCAAATCCTTTGGATATCCAAAGATTGAAAGAAGCCTTGGCAAAGAGTTTCAATTTGGCAACGTTTCTAATAAGGTTAGCTTGGAAAAGCAGATTGCATCTGTCCCCCCTCATCTACTGAAAACGCACTAGTTGGCCCAAACATTGTGCCGAGTCAGTTGAGCACCCCTATGGTCAGAAAAGAAATGGGCATTGATCAAGAAGTGGGCATTATTGGCCCTACTGTTTTTCAAGAGCTAAATGTAGAAGCTATTTTGAACCAAAAGTCAAAGGGCAACCCATTTCCACCGGGTATGAAGAATACTGAACGATTAATTCAACCCTTTCCTTTGTACTATTCTCGTAGAAAGCCTAATACTAATTTTGGAAAGGAACTTGCAAAGCCCTCGATAGCTGAAGGGGTTCAAGTTAACTTGAATAAGGCTTTCTTTGAGGAACGAGAAGTAGTTAGTAAAGATAGTACGGATAAGTTAAATATTCTGTCCGTTGGCACTATCCACTCCACTAACGAAGGTTCGCCTCTTAGATCATCTTCCTTAGAATTCTCGGATTATGATCTTGAAGATGAGGATGATGCAATCAGTATTAGTAGTTTAGACTCTTTTCCAAGGTCAAACATCTCAATTGAGGACTTTTCTGAACATTCCTTTGTGGACGATTTTCAATCTTTATTTAATGAACAAAAAGATGATGAGAAACCCGTTCTCCCACAGCAAACAACCATTCCTTCCTTTTTTGAAGAAATGGGGATTCCTTTTGTCCCAATTGAGTCCGTTCTCTGAGTTTTAAGTTGTTCGGAATGTTGGAATGTTCTCAATTTTGCCTTCCGCAGATTTCAAAGCTTTGCAGTTTTAGTTCGGTTGGTTGGTTGATGAGGTATTCAAAGTTTTTCTCCAGCGTGTGGTTTGACATTTAGTGGTTTATGTTTGGAGGTTTTTGAAGACGGCCTTGAGGCTTAGTATTTGGTGTTTTCTCCTTATTAGCATTTCGGCTGTGGTTTGTTCTTGTGCCCTAACTTCTACTTGGTTCTTTTTGGAGTTTGATATCTTCGCTCTTGGTGCTAAGAAAGGTTTATCCCTCGTGCGGTTGTTGACCCTGGAATTAGTTTGATTTCCCAAGTTCGGCAGCAAGCAGTTTTTCTAAGTTCTGTTTTAGAATGCTTTTATCTCTTTTGAGCTTGTATTGCTCGTGTTGCGATATTTATTCGTTATTTTTCTATTGTTCTCTCTTTTCTTTTTTTTTCATACCCTTAGGAGTTTTGTATCTTGAACATTTTTCCTTTTCATATATCAATGGAAAGTTGTTTCTTTTTCAAAAAAAAAACAAAAAAAAAAGAAATATTATTTGGGGTCCTTGCCCTCTTAGATTTTTCATCTCCTGGTTAAAGGATAAAAAATGCATCAGTCAAGCTGTTGGAAAAAATTCTTATGGTTGGGCAGGTTGTCTATTCTTTTCCAAGCTTCGAAATTTGAAATATGATCTTAAACAATGGCACAATCAGAATGCGCACGGCTGTGGAAGTTAAGGTAGTTTCTGGATTTATGGCTTGAAAGAAACCATCGGGTATTCGAGGATTCTCTTTGTTCAGCCCGAGATTGCTTCAATTTTGCCAAATTCAAGGCTTCTCACTGGTGTGGTCTTTCTGATGTTTTCTCTTCCTTTACTCCTAATTTGATTTGTATGAATTTGGAGGCCCTATAACTCATTTCTAGTTTTGTTCTTCTTCTTTCTATTTTTCTGTTTTCACTCGCTCGGAGGTTTGTATCCTTGAACAATTTTGTTCCTTTTTATCTATCAATGAAAAGTTTGTATCTTGTTAAAAAAAAATGGAGTAACTTTAGTTCTGATCTTTAAATGATGAATGTAACTTGTACCATTGATGTTATAGAAACCAGATACTTCGGAGATATAGTCATTGAGTTTATGTCTTCATATACCTTCCTTTTCTTTTGTTTACATCTCTCTTTGACGTTTTTCTTTTAATAGATTGAAAGAGAATTGGACAATGAACAGGCAGATGCACCAAAAACGGTGTGTTCTACAAAAGAAGCTGAAGCACAGGGTAAGATTCAAAGCCTTAACCTCATGATCCATTAAGAATTGTTGTTGAATATTTCTATAATCCTTTTCTTGCAGTCGAGTGTTAAAAAGTTTGATGATGTTTCAGGAGCTGCAGATGAGCCAGGAGGAATTGATGATGGTGCTAATAAATTTGGAGCTGATGCTCTAGGAACCAGTGCTTCTGATGAATTAGACAATTGGTCTGATATCGATGATATTGAGGTTTCTTTTTATTTTTATGTTTTTTTTAGTTTATTTCACTATTAATTTTGCATAAAAAATTTGGAAAAAATTTACTATAAAATATGGACCAAAAAAGTGAGATGTAATTTTTTTCCTAGAGGATGAGTCTCCCATTTATGGCAGCTCTGATTTATTATTCATTGCACTTAATACCTAGCACTGTATGTGCAATCTAGAAGGAACTGCATGAAGAAAATGCACCTGCCGTTGTTGGGGTATTATAGGTTCACTTTACATTTTAATTCTTCATTTGGAGCTCAGGTGTACCTGTTTCAGTATAGTTAAAGGAAAGTCTGGATAAATTGTTAGGTAATGATCTAACTTGGGGTTCGCATTGGAGTTCATCAACTGTGTTATTGTATTATTGTATTCTGGGGCAAGTTGATCTAGAGAATTGCACAAAAGTCTAATGTAATTCTTTCTCTAGGAAATGGAGAGAAAATTAACCTCCATTTGAGGTGTATTATTAGTTAATTTTACTAATTTATCATGGCTATTTCTGCTGCTATTCCTACCCCTGCAGCATTTTTTCCCTTTTCCTCTCCTTCAACTCCTCTCCCTCCTAGACTAATCTTAGTTTTTATGTTAAAAAAACTTACTGTTCCTTTCTCTCCAAAGGAGCCAAAGCAAGGCCCCGATCGCATAATTCCAAAGCACATACCTCCACTGAAATTATCCAAAAACAAGTCATCTATTTTTTGAGGGACGCAAAAGGAGAAACCCAACTCTGACCAAACAAATAACCAGACCTTAAAAGTGCTGGGGCAGTGTAAAAAGATGTGATCCATCAATTCTTCACTACTGTTGCACAGACCACACGCTTGGGGAACGAGCCCAACGTGGAAATTCTTCTCTGTAATCTCACTGTTTTCACACTTCTGTAAAATAAAAGGACCACAGAAAACCTTGAATTTCTTAGGAACTTTAAAATTCCACGTATAGGTGACCATTGTAGCCTTCAATTTGGCCGAAATTCCAAAAAAGCCTCCATAATACTCTTACTTTATCCTTTAACCACTAGCTTGAAATTATTCTACAAGCCCATCCTTCCCCTTTTTAGGAGTTTACCAAGAAAAATCGAATAGGTTGAAGATGGTACTCCAACCTTAAGGCCCCCAAGGGGCAGGCCCATTGGCAAGGTTTGGGATTTCTTGGTAATACTGACTCAGAGATCTCAAGTTTGAAGCCTCCAGGCAAGCTTAATACAAAAATCCTTGATGTCTCTCGGGTCTGAGCCTTGAGGCAACTGCAGGGGCCCTTAGGTATAAGGGAGCAAAGCTCGGACTCTCAGTTATTTAAAAAAAAGATATTCCAACCTCAAGTAGAAGGCCAGTGGAGGAGAGGTGGCTATTGAGCTTTGCACTATTCTTCCGCATCACGTGAGGCAATAAAGCTAGTTTAGGATTTCTTACTTTGAACTTTATCCCTAGTATAGATGCTAAGAACAACAGAAAACATTTTGTCATCTTGGGACTGTTGCCTTTTCATATCAACATGCTAAGTGTCTCAACCCTACTGTTAGAGCGTGGGTTGAGACCCTCACCAAGTGAGCAAGCATGGGCAACATGCCATCGGGCCATGTTGAGGGCTGTGTCGTGATACGATCAAGGAGGATGGTGCAGCATGTAACACATCATATAGATTTGCTCAAGAGTGCTAGGAGAAGGCATATGCAGAATGCAAGGTGATGTTAGTGGTGTTGGTGACAAGCTTAATGGAGGCTAGTTGGGTCCCCGGGCCATGACTCCAAAAGTGGGGGTTCCATCTAGAGTTTGGACGAGTGACTTTGGAGTTAGATGTATATTAATGAGATATGCAAGCACGTCAAATTTCGTGGCAAGCAGAGTTTAGACGTATGCTCTACGTTGGCAAGTGACTCCTCGTCACCTTGCATCTGCCACATACACGCCTGCAGCCTAAGATTGCCTTAGAATGGCTACTATATGAGGAGGCATGGTGTTGGCTTTCCACCACCCTTAGGCCATGTCAAGGCCTAAGTGAGCCACTACATGGCACGTGTGTCATGGCGTTGCGAGTGTCTGCAAGAGCAGTGTCTTGGGTGACTTCCTTGGAGAAATGGAAACTCAAGGACAATGTCGAGTGGCATGGGTGTGCCGGCATTTTGCCTCGTCCCATGGATCGGAGGCGCACCATGAGGCCTTTCTCTAGGATGGTATGCTCGAGTGAGATGGCACGAGCGCAAGAGTCGTCATGTCTCGATAGTGTCTTGATGATTGAATGTCCGGAAGGTCCTGATCATAAGTATGAACCCATGGGTCAATTATCGGTAAGCATGCTTGAGCAAGCAACGAAACCCGATGACATCCTGATGCTTGGGGTGGCATCTTAAAGTATCGGTGGGCACCCGATAAGTGCAAAAAAGCTAGTCTTGGCCCAATAAGCGGCTAGACTTATCCCAATTGGCAAGTTTAGTCATTCCTTGCTCGAATCTCGACATGAATCATCTTGGTAGTACTCGATAAGGCCGTGTAGCCCATTATTAACTAGTTTCTTGGCAGGAATGGTCTTAGAGGCCCGATAAGTTAGTTTTAACAGAGTTAAGCGGTTGAAATCTCCCGGTAGTACCCGGTAAGCGTTTTAAGCTAGTTCTGGCCTCGTTAAAGGTTAGAACTCATTTCGGTAATGTCCTGGCTCAGTGTAAGAAAGGGACGGTCGAGTGACCGAGAACCAAGATGTTATGAAATGAAGCGCCAAAGCGTTTAGAGGGGCGTTGGCCTAACGTAGAGGCAAGGTTGAGCCGTGAGACTTGGCCTAAAGCAGAGGCAAGTTGGCTAGCGTGGCATAAGAGTTGAAATGCACGAACAGGCGATGTGCATTGCCGAGAGTAAGTCAAGATACATGCATAGTTGCGAACACCCATTTGAGACTTGTTAGAGTATATAGATTAGTATATTTTATATTCTTGTATTAATATTAATTTGTCATTTACCTTCTCCTTATAGGATTAGGTCAACCTTGTATATTTATCTATATATATAGACTTTAATAATGAGAATATAGAACATGGGATTCTCTCCAATCTTAGTC